CTTGGAAATGGGTATCACATTGGGAAATCCAAGAAGTTTAATCCTCGTATTATAATTAGAAATGTTTCTTCTAATGATGATTTGGGCGATAATGATAGCATTGTTCAAAACATATTGACTTTAAACAACTTGAACGATGAAGATTCTTCAACCTCGATGAAAGTAGTCACAAAGTTAAAGCTGAGGGATTCAAAAAATATGCACCTAGTTCTAGAAGTGTCTCCAGCTATTAGAAAACTTCTACTAGCAAAAGGTTTCGTCTACGTAGGATGGAAGAGGTGCAGCGTAGTTGATCACCTCAATATTATGCAGTGCCGAAAATGCTGTTCATTTGGTCACCTTGAGAAGAACTGTGCATCTAATGTATCTACGTGTCTTAAGTGTTCTAGTGGCCATTCTTATAAAAATTGTGACAGTGATTCTGTGAAATGTGCAAACTGTGTACAGTATAACCGTAAATATCGTACAAAAATAAATGTTGAGCATGCTGCATCGGATAAAACATGTATGCTTTTTGAGAACCATGTTCTCAGTCTTAAAGCTAGAATAGATTATGGATAAGTTAGGATCAATGAAGCTTGGTCATCTGAACGTGCGATCTCTCATGTCCGACTTTGCTGGAATTATTGACCTGATTCAGACTGAGCGGTTCGGTATTTTCGCTGTAAGTGAAACATGGTTGAGCCAAGACATTACCAATGATGCGGTGAGTATCAATAATTACAATCTGTTCTGTAGTGACAGGGGATCCCGCGGTGGCGGAGTAGGAGTCTACATATCCACTGACCTTCAGGTCGAAATTATTAACTTTGACAACAGCTTTGGAAATTGCTTGGAACAACTGTGGGTCAGCATAAAAATAAACAAATACCTTTTGCTTTTGGGTGTGTTGTATAGACCACCCTCACAAAACCTCAATGATTGCATCAGCGCTCTAGATCTCATGTTACCGTTAATGTCAAACAATTTTGATAACATTGTTATTGTAGGAGATCTGAATGTTGATATTTTGAGCGGCAACAACGTCCTTTCTCCATGCTTTCAAATGCTGGGTTTTTCTCAAATTGTCAGTGATCCTACAAGAGTGACAAGTAACACAGCATCCTTATTAGATCCAGTTTTTACTAATAAACCAGACATTATTTCCGACTGTTTGGTTCTTGATTCTAACGGCATATCTGACCACAAAATGGTATCGTGCACTCTATCCATTCCTGATTTGAAAAATAAACAACGGTTTGTAACTGTAAGGAACTTCAAGTGCTTCAACGAAGAATATTTTCTAAGTGACTTAGCTTCTGCAAATTTAGACGACTTATTTTTTATGAACCATATAGATGCTAAAGTTGAGTTAGTAACAAATACACTGATGAGAGTTTATGATAAACATGCTCCTGTAACTACTTTTAGAGTAAACAAACCACCTGCTCCATGGCTATCTCCCCGCCTACGTGACGTTCTTAAAGAAAGAGATATTGCCCATACTACATATAAAACAAATAAAACTGTAGAAGACCTAAATATTTACAAGCAAAAAAGAGATCACGCGCTTACTCAGGTGAGGAAAGAGAAAAGCGCATATCTACAATTTTTATCTGAACAGAATGACGAAAGAAAGGTATGGATTGGCTTAAAGCAGCTTAACATACATTCTCGGACAAAACCCCCTCTTCCAGATAATCTATCTGATCCAAATAAAATCAATGACTATTTTGTGTCAGTTTACAGTACAAATAATGCCTCGGAAGAATTATGTCACCTAGACAAAAATCGTCACTGCTTTCCACCTGATTCTTTTTCATTCAGAATCATTGATCCTTCAGAAATTTTACAAACTATTAAATCTCTTAAATCAGATGCCAAAGGAATAGATGGTCTTACGCTAACTATGGTAAAGGTAAGCCTACCCGTTATATTTTTCCACTTAGTTCACATTATCAATCTATGTCTTGAAACCGGTTACTTTCCTAAAATTTGGAAACAAGCACTGATAATACCTATAGCAAAAACTTTGAAACCCGGTCTCCTATCAGATCTTCGACCAATCAGTTTACTACCTATTTTGTAAAAAATCCTTGAAAAGATTGTTCATCTTCAACTTACATCAGATAATCCCACCAAATCAATCGGGATTCAGAAAACATTACAATACAACATCGGCTTTATTGAACATATGCGACAACATCTTTCGTGTTCTGGACAAAAAAATGGGTTTAGCTTTAATATCAGTCGACTACTCTAAAGCCTTCGATGAGATAGATCATAAACTTTTATGTGCTAAGCTACGTTCTGTTGGTTGTGATGAGGTTGTAATCAAATTTTTTGAAAGCTATCTTAAAAACAGGACTCAATGTGTTTCAGTGAAGGGCATTACATCTGATGTCACTCGCATACCTTTAGGAGTGCCTCAGGGTTCCATTTTGGGACCTCTTTTGTTTTTAATATATACATTTGACTTATCTAGATCAGTTTACAACTCTGATATTCAATCGTTCGCTGATGACACCCAGCTCTCGCATTGTTTCGGTATAGAAGATATACAGAGCACGTATAAGCATATATTGATAGTCTATGCAAATATTCAGCAGATCACAACCTCAGCATAAACCCGGAAAAATCTAAGATTTTATTGTTTTGTTCAGACAGCAGAAGGAACGACGTTGTTTCGCTCTTAAATGTGAACATAGACAATAAGCAGCTCGAGCTCACCAATAGCGCAAAAATATTGGGTGTAGAAATTGATACAAAATTAAGATTTACCGAGCATGTAAAAAATCTGACACAAAAAACCTATGCACGTTTACGCAGTCTTTATTCAAACAGATATCTGCTAAACTTCAAAAAGAGGAAAAAACTTTGCGAAACCTTCGTAGTGTCTGTCTTGAACTACTGCAGTATTCTATATTTTCCCTGTTTGGATCAGATCACTAAACACAGAATCCAATTGATTCAAAACAGCTGTGTTCGTTTTATATTCGGCATGAGAATGTTCGACCATGTCTCTCACAAATATGCAGAGTTGAGATGGCTAAAGTTTGACCAGTTGGTCAAGTTACATTTTTCCACATTTATCCATAAAATTTTAATTAATTCTAAGCCAGAATACCTATGTGAAAAAAATATTTTTAATAACACCATTCACAATAGAGTTATTACAAGTTATAACTACAGGCGTGTACGCATGTGAAAACCATTTCGAAGCAGGACGACACTCTCCAATGAGCGCTAGATGGTTACTGACCAAAATCGCTCATCTGTGATCATGGAGGTGGAAACCTTGCTTTGGAATGTACGAGAAAATACGACCATGTTAGCCATGCTTACAACAGTATTGGATGGATGAAGCTCGAGTGTTTGACAAATTTTCATTATTTGGTCTTCCTTCATGAGCTGCTCGCATCTGGTAAACTCAAATACCTCAGAGAAAAACTTATTTTTTCTAATGAAATACATAACAAAACCCTTAGATATACATTAAATATTAATATAACCCATTACGTCACCTCGCTTTTCCAACGCTCATTTTCCTATAATGCTGCTAGTCGCTACAATAATATTCCTGATGATTACAAAACCATGAATCTGTCTTGTTTCCGTAAGCATGTTAGGTTATATTTACAGAGCTCTACATTATAATGTTTCTTCTTTTTCTAATTGTAACAGCCAAACTTTTTTTTTGTATCTCCTATACCATCTTTTTTTTCGTATTCATATGGTTAAGTGTAAGAGTAGCTTTAGCTAAACTTCGCCATAATAAATCGCACTCTGTATCCTTGTAAATAAAGATGATATTATTATTATTATTAAATTGATCCTAAACAGATTCAACAGAATTCACAACTCAAAAATGTGTACGCTCAAAATAAAACCATTATTTAGGCGTAGAGAATAAACTAATGCATATTTTCAATATGCATCTTACTTCAAGAAACGTATTAGCAACGCGGCTTCGCTATCCAGCCGGCATCTATCTAGTGGCGGCTCGTGAGGTAGTGCCACGGTGCCATGGCACTACCTTGTCTTCTTCAAAAAGAATATTTTTTTCAATCTTCAATATTTTACTTTATTTTCTGCTTTTTCATTTTTTTGTATAAATAATATGAAGTGACAACACTGACAACACCGCAAGCACCCGCCCGCACCCGACCGACGCGACGAGACGGAAAGCATGCCTTGACCTTGACGTCATCAACTTTCCAATTTTGGGCCGGCCCAAATAAAAAGAGAGAAATTTTACCAGCATCGCATACGAGCGACAGAGATAACGCTACGCTAGACATTTTTATATGAGGTGAATAGCGAAAGACAAGTATAATTTGTGCCAGGCACATCATCAGTCGTAACTCGTTATCAAATGATATCGGCGGTGTTTTTGTTCGGTCGGTCGTTTCGTTATGATTACGTCTAGTGCTGATTTCGGTCTTTTTTTACCTGAAAAGTGAGAAATAACGTTTTTGTTTTAGTACGTCTAGTGTTAATGAACTGCTCTGTTTTGTGATCATATTTTTTACTGTTTTATTAAAACTAGTGAAAATGAATAAAATCGGGATATTAAAAAACTCATTTAGTGGTTTTTCGCTAGATCAAAAACTGCAAATTAAAGAATTAGGACGGCCAATACCCGATTTAAAAATTGAGAAACAAAGTGGTAGCGGACAAAAATCGCGCTGTCGCAAATTTAATAAAAATGTGTACGATAAAAACAGCTGGAGATGTGGTTGTGAAGAAACGAATAAACTATTTTGTTTTGTATGTGTTCTATTTGGAGGTGACGAGACTTGGTCAAAAAAAGGTGCAGACGATCTTATACATATATGAGATAAAATGAAGACCCAAGAAAAATCTAAAGTCCATATGAATAATGTTTTTAGCTTTTCTATTCTTGGTAAATTAAATATAAGGACTCAACTCAATTCGGCTTATCGCAATGATCTAATTAAACATAATAATCAAGTGGATAAGAATCGATATGTATTGAATAAAATTATTAATTGTATAAGGTTTTGTGGAGCATTTGAGTTAGCCTTAAGGGGTCATGATGAAAAGGAAAATTCGGAAAACAGAGGCATATTTAAGGAGCTGGTGAATTTTAGCACCGAATTAGACAACGAATTGAAAGTCCATATTCAATGTGCCAAACTTTTTAAGGGTACCTCAAAAACAACTCAAAACGAGCTTCTTGAGTGCATGCTAGATGTTTATCATGAAGAAGTTAAGAAGGAGATTGCAAATTCTCCTTTTGTTGCAGTAATTGCCGATGAAACGACGGACGTAGCCTGTGAATTTCAGTTAGTTATTATTTTCAGATATTTGTGTAAAGGACAACCAGTTGAGAGATTTTGGAGATTTTACGTCCCCGACGGACACGATGCCAAATCAATCGCTGCATGCGTTTTAAATGTTGTAAATCCATTACTAGATCAAAATCCAAACAAATTAATAGCTCAAAGCTATGATGGTGAATTGAATGGCGTTCAAAAAATTATTAAGGAAACTTATCCACTTGCAAATTATGTTCATTGCTATGCACACCAGTTAAATCTAATTATGACAAGCGCATGCTCTGTCAATAAGCAGGCTAGAATATTTTTCCATAATTTATCTGGATTGTGCTCTTTTTTTTCGACGTCTCCTCAAAGAACAAAAATTTTGGATGAAATAGTTAATCGCAGATTGCCAAGATCTTCCCAAACACGTTGGAATTTTCAGTCACGAGGTGTTCATACAGTTTATGAAAATATTAAAGACCTGATTGAAGTTATGGACAATATAGAAAGTACTTCACGCGATTCTTCGTCGATTAATCAAGTCAGTGGGTACAAATTAAAGTTGCAAGATACAAATTTTGTATTTTGGCTAAGTATTTTCCATAAAATAATGCCACATGTTGAAATTGTCTTTAACCAATTACAAAAAGTATGCACCGATTCTGTTAAGGTCAAAAATGATTTAGACAATTTTGAAGCAGCAATTCAAACTATACGAGAACAAATGGATAGCATTATTGACGAGATTGAACGAGTGCAGAGAGAAACTGATGAACCGGCAAGAAAAAAAAGGCAAGTTGAAGAAGGCAGCAAAATATGCGATGCAGTATTATCGCAAATAAGAACAAGATTTAACTTTTCTGGGCATTTAGTTGCTTCTAATTTATTTGTGTCTGAAAAGTTTTCTGTTTATAAACATCAGTTTCCTGAAGCACATTTAAATGACACATGCACACAATTTTCATTTTTAGACAAAAACAGGCTTAAAACTGAGTTACAAGTATTATATCAGAGAGAAGAATTGAGTACTACTTCTGGAGCTGTTCCACTATCCATTTTATTGAACGAGGAAGGATTAAATTGTACGTTTCAAGAAACTCTTAAGCTCTTAAGTATTTTAATCACTATACCGATGTCAACATCTGAAGCAGAACGCTCTTTTTCAATGCTGAAACGGATTAAAACTTTCCTCAGAAACACAATGAAGGAAGAAAGGCTTAGTGCTTTAGGAATGCTGTCTGCAGAAAAACATTTTGTTAGTGGCATTGAAAATTTTAATAATAAGGTAATCGAAAACTTTGCTACCAAAAAAGAAAGAAGAATGGACTTCATATAGAAAACTTTGAAGTTATAGGTACTTCTCCACACTTGTTTTATAATTTGGTGCGCGTGTGTAAATAGTTTTATTTTTGATTTTTTTTTTGGACATATAGATTTATTGAACCTCAAGAACTTTGACCACTAACTATCAGGGGTAAGTTATAAGTTATTCTTTACAATTTTGAATCGATTCAAAATTATGGCTTCCATTCTGGCACTACCTCACTGAATTGGCACGAGCCGCCACTGCATCTATCACTGTCTAACATATGTGTCTATACATACTTCTCTCTCGTACACATTGAACTCAAGCCTTCAGCCCAATTAGGTTCTCAGTGTATGCGGATTAATGAGATCCATAATGAGTGTGCTGTATGCGGCCTGGTTCGAAATGTTTCGTCTGTTATATATTCGGCTAATTCTCAAAATGCTCTAAGTAGCTCGAAACTGAAACGGTCAAACCAAGAATATCAATCCGTGAAATCCGTTTCCTGTCTTCTGCCAGCAGACAAAATGCGCCCATCATGATTTTTTGCCGTTGTTGTGAAGCTTCACCACTGTACGGCTTTTTAGTCATGGTTTCATTGGAAAAAATCAAGATATAAATCACAGGGAGCATGTGTAGATGAAAAGCATAAATTTTAATCGAGCGTATCAGTTATAGTTTTAATCCTTTAGTCAGATTTGAATAAAGCCGTCAGCACAACGGGGCGATATGCAAATAGCAAGGTTGCTGATATGAAATATTCTTTCAGCGTTCCTACCCTCGTTTGTATTTAGCAGGCATTGTAATAGATTCAGTTTTTAACCCGTAGAATACGAAGCCTATGGATCATATTAAATCATGCAAAATAAAGAATCAAACATGTAAATCTAATATGGATTGATCTTATAGGGGTTGCCCGCCGGGCTAGGGAGTGACCTGATCTAAAAAAATGACAGTTTTTGACATAATGGTTATTACGCCAACATACATGATTCTGTAGACGAAGCTTATTGTCTGAGGAGGCACAACCTTAATACCTATGTACCGGCTCTTTTAACCGCTTAACGATCTAGTTTTTTTCAAAAATTGTTAAAAAAATCTAATTTTTTTATTTTCTTATTTTGAACTAAATCGAAAGTTATTTTATTTTCTACAGTTAAAAATTAAATAAAACCCTGAATTTTTGTGAAAAAACTTACATTTATTTTTATACATGTGCTTACCCGAGTTAACTAGCGCAACAAAAAAAATTATTTATTTGAGGAACAAACATAAGGTAAAAACTTAAAAATTATATTTAAGTAAGTACGAAGCTTATGGATCATATTAAATCTTGCAAAATAAAGAATCAAACATGTAAATCTAATATGTATTGCTCTTATAGGGGTTGCCTGGAGGGCTAGGGAGTGAACCCCCAACTAACAATTATCACTCCTATTTGAGTTGCAAGAATGATTATACAGTATTCTTTAAACTGCATTGTATACTGTAAGAACATTGGCAAAACCCTCTTAGAACAGCTATACAAGCGGAATGGGCACACCTAATAGGACACTTCAGTCATTTAAGAGGTTGTATAAGGGCTGCAGGTAACAGTTATAAAACAAAAGTGTAAGCCTCTTGCAGCCGCTATAGGACATTTGCGTCAGTGCAAGATTCAGTTTTTGTCAACTATACAACTATTCTGTTACGTGATTCTACTTTATTGCAACCAAACTGTTTCTTATGTATTGTATAGACGAAGTGAAGAATATATAACTAACACATTACAGTCATCTTGTTTACTCACATATCGGCCATTGTGAATTTCATACACAGGTATATCATAAACTTCTACACTTTGATATAGGGCTATTGAATTACTTGCGCAGCAAATTTTATTGTGATTATCGTGCAAATTAGTTACCCAATTTCTACGGGCTTCGTATTTAATTCATATTTTGACAATGATCAAAACTATGTCTAGATTTTTAAGATGGAAAACTGAACTTATCTGCGTTAAATCTTCCACAAATCCTATATTTAGACACAATTACACTAATGTTTATCACTTTATATCTGTAATTTCTGAACTGAACTGAAACATAATTATTTAACATCAAATAGAGGAATAAATGTTTGCCCAATATGGCGGGTGGGCAAACATCATGGCATCGTCCATGTTGTCTTTAGGTTATTAGAATATTTTGGTGTTGCCTGCAGGTGTTATACAACAATTTAACAAATGTCTGAAATGAAATACCGACAGAGTCGAATGATTTACCTAGAATTTGTACCAGATCTATATCTTCTGTTTGAACAGTTGATAAAACCTTTTGAACCGATATGCATGCGTTGTTTCTCTTAAAACATTGGTTATGGCATTTTAACAAAAATATGACAGCAGAAAGTTAGGTTATGGTGAAGTTGTTTACCAACATATTTAGCATAATATGTACAGCCTTTAACAGTTACTAAACAACAGTTGTATAAGCGCTTCCGTTGGGAGCAATTTGTTGGCTAAGGTAGTAAATTGCACAGCAAAATAACAAGGCTCGGGTTTGTTTTATAAACGTTACCATGGATGCCACAACACAAACATTTTGACTAACTTGCAAATATGCCGTATAAAATAGTTGTATATAAACGTGTATGCAACAGTTAAAAATTTGCTCTATAAGGTGTTGTATAACTATGCTATAAGAATATTTTAAACACCTCATTTTAGAGCAAATATGTTGCAGAAAGCAAATTTGCATTCCACACAACATTAAGCCAGCATTTTGGTGTTCAGGCAACAACAATAGAGAGCTTTTATGGCTGAACGGTTCTTTTACCAAAAGCTTATACCAATACTTTGCTAGTTGGGCCTGATCTAAAAAAAGTGACAGTTTTTAACATAATGGTTATTACGTCAACATACATGATTCTGCCTGAGGAGGCACAACCTTAACACCTATGTACCGGCTCTTTTAACCGCTTAACGATCTAGTTTTTTTTCAAAAATTGGTAAAAAAAATCTAATTTTTTTTTATTTTGTTATTTTGAACTAAATCGAAAGTTATTTTATTTTCTACAGTTAAAAATTAAATAAAACCCTGAATTTTTGTGAAAAAACTTACATTTATTTTTATACATGTGCTTACCTGAGTTAACTCGTGCAACAACAAAAAAATATTTATTTGAGGAACACACCTAAGGTAACACATCTGAAACTTAAAAATTATATGTAAGTAAGTAAAAAAAACAATTTTCTAAATATTTGCAACTGTGGTAAATCTTACAGCATGGAGTCACACACAAAGGGGTTTCGCAATCTGCACAGTAATATCTGGTTTCTCTTCTAATTTTCTTTCCGCGTGCATCTCGACCCCTGCTGCAAATTCCACATTGCCTGGTTGGATTTTTCTTTTTCTCAGTAGCTGGAATAAGCTGGAAAATGTCGTCCTGTCAGACGAAGCGGAGTGAGCTGGGTTGAAGGTCGTCCTGTTCTTGGAGTAAAGTCAGTTTGATGATATTTTTCCATTATTTGCTTTATAAGCTCCAATTGGTATACAAGTGCTGATTTTGTTCCGCCCGTTTTTACATATATTATAAAAGAGTTCCATAGGGCTAAATCCAAAAGGTGGAAAAATCTTATTTTATAATATTTTGTACCTCTTTTTCTTGGTAAGGTATAGTCAGCCAAGTGCTGGTCCACTCGGTCCACTCCACCCATGGTATCGTTATAGTCCACAACCACTTTTGGTTTGATTTTTTTCCCTTCGTGTTTCTACCTCGACACACTTGTTTGTATGAACAGTGGAAATAAGAGAGATGTCTTTTTTATCCTTCCACTTGATCAGAGACACTTTACCTCTTTGGAATCCAAATACTTCGCCCTTTTTCAATTTCTTATCTTTCAACTCCCTAGGAACCGCCTTTCGTGTCAATGTTACTGTTCCATAAACATCGGTTTGCTTGCTCAACAATAAACCCGCTAGTTGTGGAGAATTATAAAAATTATCCATAGTAATACAATAGCCCTGACTTAGCAGATCCCTGGACAGTATCATAACTACCTGCGACGAAACTGGAAGATCAACATACTCTTGCTCCAGATTTGTATGTTTTCCCGTATAAATAATAAAATTCCATGCATAGCCGCTTTTGGACTCACATAACATATATGTTTTGATGCCAAAACGTGCTCTCTTCAGAGGAATATATTGGATCCAGCCAAGTCTACCTTTGTATAATGAAATTGCCACATGTTTCTCTGGAGTAACTGTAGCTCGAAATTTATTCACTAACTTGTCGTATATCGGCCATATCTTATTTAGCTTTGGTTTTGGGTGGTGCTCAGCGTCAAAGGTCTCGTTATCAGCAAAATGTAGATTTGACATGATTGCTTCAAATCTTTTATTGCTCAGACATTTTGCAAAAAAATGTGTCAGTAATAAAGGATTTTTAGACCAATATTGCCTCATTTCAGGTTTTTTTATAATACTTTGAAGAATTATAAGCCCCAAATTACTCTCATTTCACCAGCAGTTCCTGTGGACCATTTTTTGAATTTCTTTTGAATCACATAACAATTGGTTTCAGTAACAACATGTGATCGATTATCTCAGCATCAAAAAATTGTTAAAAAATTGCAGTAAATTGTCCTCATCATTCGAGCGAAAATGAACACTAGGTCTGGCAGAAAATGGAAAAGCTGGTGGTTCCGGGGAATCAGGCCCTAACTCGCACCAATTACGCAGAAGCACCACATTTTCAGAGTTACTAGAATAACTCGTCGTTGAAACATCCAAACTTGTACCTGACCCACTCTCATCGACGACATCTTCGATATCAACCCCATCGAAACTTTCATCACTGTCACTCTCCATCGTTCAGCGTACAATAAAACAAAACATAAAATGTGCGGCAATCAATCCCCTATTACAACCAAATACTAACTAATTACTAAATAACGCGGCTGTTTTGATGACATTCCCAATTTTTTAGTACATTTT